CAACAGAGTTGGAATTGGAATAATAAGGTGCGACAGTTGCAACCTTGGACACTTCAGAAAAAAGTTTACAAAGTGAATAATAAATAAAACTTCATTGAAGGTATATTTTAATTGTATTTGTTCTGTACTGGATTTAAAGACATTTTCAAATATCTACATTGTAGTAACACTGCTGAAATTATGAATATAAATTTTGCGTAGCTTCTTTTGATTGAGATAGTTTAGATTCTGTTACTGATAATATTTAAATTATTCAGTTCTGTTTGTTTGTAGTTATGCACAATGGACTGACTATCTGTGCTATGTCTGCCATTGGTATCAAAACCTGGTTTTTAGGGCGTGCGCTGTCAGACTTACTGCTGATCCCCGGGTAATTAAGTTCCAGAGAAGGTCATTTGTGAGGGTAATTTTTTCCTGTTCTTTCAGAGCTTTTAACCAATTCTCAATCCTTACCATGCTGTAGCTGTTATCTGTGCTACTTAAGTTGCACGTGCGTGAACAGTAATTTCAATTTATCCATATCTTATTGGAGTGTTGTTAGTAAGGAAGACTTTACAGGAGCTCTTACTTTTGAGGAAATTAGAGATAACATAATAGGTAATACTTATATGTATATTAAAGTTTAGAGCTTTCTTATAAATTTAACTTTCGCATTTTAAAAGTTTTATCAACATAGTTTACATTTTTGAAATGAAATTAGTAAGTTTAGAAATGCATTTTTACTTTGTTTATAAGTATCTGATGTTCACTTATTCTTGTTTCATGACCAACCCTATTTCGTACTTAGATGATGACAATTAACGTCCCTAGCTTATTTTCCAGTACAGAATTTTCCCCTAATGTTATGAATATTTTACATATATTCTGGTCTAATTAATAATAGAAAATATTTCAAAATCAGTGTGTTGGAATAACTGCTATTTTTTTGTTTATTATACAAGCATGAAAAAACTTGAAAATTTGCTTTATTCGGAAAATACTGTACGATTATTGTTCAGGTTCTGTAGCTGGACTTTACTAGAGGATTACAAGTGAAGGAAAACTTTTCAAAAAGGAAGTAAATGTAGGGATAACTAATATCAATCCTTCAAAAACAATGAAAATAAAACAGCAGGGATGGCATTTGCATCATCCCTACCTAGCACAGGCACACAGTGTAGTGGAATGTTAACAGATATAAATT